CTGTCAAGGTAAAGAGAGATTCCTATTCAAAATCATACCAGTGCAGTTGATGCTGGTAACGATCAAGAATGCAGAGCTAAGAATATCTCTGTGCTGAGCTGATAGAAAGATATAGTATTGATTCTTCTGTCCAGTGAATTGATTTACCTTTGTACAAGTGCAAATAGTCTGGAATATCATTAATATGGTAACTTTTTCTATATTACCCATTTAAAGCTATCATTTGATTGTTTTCTTTTTGCAGTAAGATTAAAAAAAAATCATTCACCTATGCTTTACGCTGTGGGGTCAGTTCACAATATAGTGTTTATATTGTCAAAAGCACTACATAAACCTAGCAACTATTGTATATAGACAAATTTTATATTCTATTAAATAGTTGTATCTTTTGTTGTGTGAAACAAGTCTTGGCTATCAAGAATCTTACAAAGTTATAACCCTGAAATATGATTGCCAAATTCTAAAACACAACTGAAGAAAACAAGCTGTAGCTTGTCGTGGACTCTTAAGAGAGCTCAAATCTTGTTGGAAGTTCCCAACACAACTGAAGAGATGCTAGAACTTCATATAATATGAAATATGAGCGGAGTTTCAAGGTGCAGCACCGGGAAGTGTGGAACCTGGGCACAGACCGAGGCACACCTTGGGGAATGGATGCTGAAAGCAGGATACTTGGCCAGGGCACGACCCCAAGAAGTGAAGGATGAGTGGAATAAAACGTGTGTGTTTGACATAGAGAACAATGAGGGAGCAAGCACGCATTTGGCCCTAGAGTCTACTGCCCACAGTAGTAATATCAAGTATATTTTAGACGAATGTGCCCACACAGTGTAGGATGCACTGAACATGAGTAAAACAAAAACCAGAGCGCATCTTGTGAAGCTGCTACATTCTCCATACAAAAGGCAGTGGCAGCACCTACTGTATGACAGCTTCAAGGTGGGAGAGCACTTTGGGGAATATCGCAGGGAATCACTGGAGAAAAGGGCGAGTGGTCGGGTAATGGAGTGGAAGGTAGGGGAGAAGAGGTGTACGAAAATGTTCTGGTGAGTAGAGGGTACTGACGAGGCAAAGTTTCAAAATCCAGATATTATCATACAGGTTTAAACAGAAAACATTATTTTAATAGCATAATTCTGCTCCTGTTTTCAAACTGCCATAAAGTTAATTCCTACTAGAAGTCAAGGTCTCCTGAAGTCACGGAATTATTCTGCTGCAAGTCTTGAATCAGTCCTACAAGTTCTCCTATCCGTTCTTTGAATTTTGTAATTCTTTATTTTATCAAGCTGATTTTCCCAGGGAACTTTGAAATTAACCTAATGTTTTTATGTTTCCCAGCATACTTACCCTTAAAAATTTGGATTTAATACTGTATTTTACGTTTGGTTTTAAAATTTATGCTGTGACAGATGCTTAAATATTTACCATAGCAATAATAACACAAAAGAAACTTAAGGTTTTAAGACTACCTGAGTATTTTTCTATGCATTATCCAACTAAATCTTTGTGGTTTAATTTAGTGTATGTGCTGCCAAAGCGAACACTTTGTAGTTTATTTTTAATGAGACAAGCATACATGATTACTTTCACTTTACAGTCAGAAGATTCACTCAGCTTCAGAAAGTTGAAGTAAACTAGTTGTAGAAGGTAGAACATGAACTTGGGTCTTCTGACTCCCAATCAAGAGTAGCTTCTAGTCGTAGGAAAAGATATATCAATTTTCCCTTCATATAATGCAATGTTAGAGATGAACAAAACCTTAATGAATAATTATTACAGTGATTTGTAAACTTTTCTGGAAATGACATAAATATTTTGCCTTTATAGGCTCCCCAATCTTTCTTCCAATAATTATTTCTAACATTGTAGCGCAAAAGCAGACATGGGCAATATAGACAGGAGTGATTGCTATAAATTTGCAATTAAATTTTATTTACAACAATAGGCTGCAGGCAGAATTTGCCTATGGGCTATATTTACTGATTCCCCTGTCTACTCTCTTTGAACCTTGTTTCTAAGAAAATGACTGCTTTCTATCTAGAGACTGTATTAGATTTATGGAGGCTTCTCTGGCTGGAGCCCAATAATCAATTTTATCTTGCTGCTTTTGATTTTAATGTCTCTCTCTCTCTCAAGACATATTTAATAATATCAGTCTAATTGGCAAGGTTTGTATCTTCTTATCCTCAGCCCTCCAAGGTGTAAATGTTATTCCATTTGGCCTTTTTATGGTGTCTATGGAATTTGTTTAGGTAGTCAATGATGTCTTAATTGTGCTGACAGAAGTTCATTGATTATGTCTTTCTCTGGAGACTTGGTGACCTCCAGTCCCTTGAACTGTCGATCTGCCTTTCTTCAAGGCTGTGCACTGTGCAGTACTGTCAAACAAAATCTTTAATAAGCAAACTTGACAGCAATAGCTATCACTCTAGTTTTGCAACTAAGACTCCTAACAAATCACAGGAAACCTGAGAACTGGTGCTTGCATCTCCCTCTACTTCATGTCGCAAGAGAAATATAATTAATTTAAACTTGATAATATACTATATATATATATATATATATATATATACTATCAGAAATGAAGCATTCATGTAATTGTGTTATGTAGAATTCATTTTATCATTCCTCAAAAGATGCAGTATGGTTACATAAAATTGCCTAATTTGAAATGACTAAATATTTTCCAAGTGCTTTTGATTTGTAATTCAAGTAAGGATTCTGCTAACAACCTTAGTCAAAGGCCATAACTTTACTTCTATAGTCAGAGCCCTAAGATTTGATTTTAGAAAACCTATCTTTATTACATTTTCTACTTCTAAAGAACTCAGTGTTTTATATTAGTGTTGGGCCGGTTTTGTTCCTCCACGGTGCTTGGATTTAAACTAGAAGATTAAAAACAAGATAGGAAACTTTTCTGCTCAGTGTTATCCTCTTTCCAACTCTGTGTGTGTGCGCATGTGTATGTGTATTTTTTTGACTTCCCATGATAACAGTTAGCAAACCAACCACATTGTTTTCACTTTTGGGTAAAATTTGATGGCACACATACATCCAATTTGATGTTTTTCATCATCCAGGAAGAAACTGAAACTATTTGCACACCATTACAAAACTCTTCTTTAAGTCCAGAGAGAAGCCACAGAATGAGTCCTGGTGTCTCTTTTGTGTCTGTGTACTAGTTTTGCTGTCTCTGTCGTAATACATGACTTCATATACGATCTGTGGGAGCTGAAAGTGTGGTAGTTGTTATAGGGAGAATATAAATGCGGAATGAATTCTTTATCACGCCATGATGGTGTTTCCAATTTGTAGTAAATGTAAACACAAAGTTAAGTGAAAAAGCGTGAAACTATACCCTAAGAATAAAACTATGTTATATTGGAGGAAAATCATTTGAAAACTTGGTAAATATAACGTAGAATTGAGAACAGGTTGATAATCAAATTGAGGATTACTAGATGAGAAAGAAAAGAATCGTTAATACTGTGCCCTTTCACATTTGGAGAAAAATTGTAAATATTTTTAAAAATATTTGGAATGATGAAGTTGAGTGAAGGAAAAGAAAAACAAGAAAAAGAGAAAAATTGCAAATGGAGATTAAAAATATGAGTCTATTAAAACCAAAATTGGCTACAACATACTGAATTTCATTTAAAAACTTAACTCTCTAATTTCTTATTCTTAGTATTCATTTCTTAGTAAGCAAAAAGTTACTTGTTAATACATATGGCCAATTGAAACTAACTTTAGGGTGAATTATTATCAATGATCCCTGTGGTACCTGGATGTACTATGGCATTAGAAATATTTATACTGATATTGGTTTGCATACAAGAAAAGACTAAGCCCATTCAGGATTAGCTTATAATAACAAGTACCTACTTTTATGGTAAATGTTAAGTTCAAGGAAGGCAGGAGCATAAATTTTCAGTACAGAACTGGCAGTACTAATTTGAAATATGGATTGAGGATTACCATCTATATGTTTCCTTTCTTTCCTTTCTTCCTTTAGAATTCTCTTATATTCAGCTTTTATATTGCTACAAGAATGTTCCATGAATACTGTTGCAGACTATAACTTCATAAGAGAAGCATTTCAGATATTCCTATTTTATTACTGTGGCCCAAATCCGTTTTGGTTTCTAGTGTAAAAACCAGGTTCACTCTGAGCCTTAAGCATCTTAGCTATTTTAAGTGAAACAGAGTTAGAATGAGTTTTTGAATATAAAAAATGATTTATAAATGAATTTTACTTGATATAAGTACATTTCTCATGCTACTTTGGTTGGGCTGTTGTTGTAATCAAGTAAGAATACAATCAATTATTAGAAAAGTAAAGTCCTTTTTTTAAAGAGATGGGAAAATAATCTTTCCTAGACTTGTTCTTGAATTATCTCTGCAAAAGAGCAGAACAATTCCAAAAAAAAAAAAAAAAAAGCACAAAATAAAGGGTTTCATACAAAATCTTCTAACTTGACAGTTCTTTGAATATATATTCTTGGATCTAGAGAAGGATAGTGGCATCTGCCTTTAATTATAGTTAGAGGATAAATTCAAATTCTGGGGCTGTATTTAAATAGTTCAACATACACAATGAAATTATGCTCTGAGAATATGGCACATGGTGGTTATTTTAACACAATTTTAGATGTCTGACTGGTTTTCTTTGAAATAAATTATTAAAAAGACTATATTCTTGGAAATATCGAAATTCTTCATGGTTCAGTCATGTTTATCTCAGGAAAATTAAAAAAAAATACTTAAATGGACATTTCTGTTTGTTTTAAGATTGCTCAAGTTAACTTTGCTGAGAAATTGCGAGGAAACGTGACTGAGTTGTTTAAGGATAATATTAAGGTCATCCAAATATTTAGAAAAGAAAGAATTCGCTGTGAATTCATTTTCACTGCAGTCTTGAGTTCCTCACTCCTGAGAGTCAGATGACCATGCATCCTTACAGTGATTTTCAAGTGTTTGTTGTTTTCCTCACATTGCAGATTGTTTTCAATTTCACCACGCTGGATCTCTACAAGAGTAGCTTGTGCTGGTATGACTACATCGAAGTGAGGGACGGACACTGGAGGAAGTCGCCTCTCCTTGGTGAGACATGACCTCACTCCTATATGGTGTGCAGATTTTCTGCCCTGTGCACAGATCACCGAATCTCAAGAGGCTTTTTATGGTTCCAGTGTGGGTGGCCACATGATCTTTATTTTAACCATACCTAAAAAAATACAAGACAGATAGACAAAAGTTTCTTACATATGAGGCAAGATACTGAGATCTGAACATAATAGTTCAGAAGAGCATTCTCATGAATTATGGTTATCATGGCAACTCACAGTATTTCTGTATATTCAATTTAAGAATTATGATTCCAATTAAAATGGATAAATTATGTTATGTATGTGAGTCTATGTTGCACATGTGTGTTTTGTTTTGTCTTTGCTAAGGCAACACAGAATTAGCTGTCAGGGGCAAGCCAAGCGTATTTGCTCTTACTGTAGATACCACGGGTTTGCTTCTCAGAGTTTGCTTTTGTTTTCTTGGGGCCGAGAAGAGGCACTTGTAGTCTGTAGGTTATTAACTGTAGGTCAGACTTTGCACTCGTGAAAGTCTGCTGCCAACATTTAATTACAGACCACGGTTTGATATTGCCCTCTGTTTTGCTGTCACCCTGTTTTACTTTGAGGTGCGAGCTATTGTGAGTTTGTGAGCCTCTACTCTATATTGATCTTTTTTTCCTTTGAGATTGTGACTTTTCCTTTATTTTTAGAAGTAGCTTTGCTCAGTCATATTTATGTGCTAGGCAGATCTTTTTTCTCAACATCTAAAAACCTGCTGATTGGACAATATTGTATTAAAAGTGGCAGTGGATTTAGGAAGTCCAAGAGATGTGTAGAAATGTTTAAAATTAAGAACAAATAACAAATTGAGACAATGTCATATCAGGTTAGGAAGACATTGTTTTCTACATTTAATTTTTTAAGAAAAATGTTGTCTTATACTTTAGGTTTCTAAATCCAGATGAAGCCATTTATTATATGCATTCATGCATTGTTAAGAAAATATTTCATTGAACTGATTTTGGAGAATCAAAGCTGAAGTTAAAACTGGGAGATACTTCCTTTAAGAGCACTATCTGCTTTACACATTCAGTGTACTTGTGTAATGCCCCCCATGTGACCGATTCAGTGTTGTACCGTTCTCACTAGCAAAGTTTGCAGCACTATTTGTTGTATGAGTGATCTGACTGCTGACATACATAGCCCTCAAATTGCTGACATCAGACTCGCCCAGGAAATGTTAGAATTGTAGACAGTCTGGGTCCACCCCTTGGAATTAGAATCAAATGTCAACAGATTTCCTAGCAGGGCACTCCACTGCTCTGTGCTACCTGCCTCTGATTTACTTTGTTATTTAGGAAGTCACTTCTTCATCTAGTAGCTGTCAATATATATCAACTTTACTCAAATTGGCTACCATTTTTCATATATTTAAACAATGTTTGATATCATTTTAGGCAGCACACAAAAATGGGTGACAATATAATTAGCTTATGGAATTATTTCATATACTCTGTCATATTTACCCATGTGTCATTGTACAAAAGTTTACAAGCCTGAGAAAGGTATACAATAAGCTAAAACATCTTTGGGGAACGATGGAGAAGGAAAGAAAGATAGCTGTTATTGTACTCATTTTCTATAATGGATATGCAATTAGAAAAGAATCCAAACTCAGACTCAAGTTTTCTAGTACTGTTTGCTACTGTCCTTGTAACCCTACATGAAGATGGCATGTGTACAGTGATTTAAGATCCTGTGAGGGCCCTGTGTGTCTCCATGAGGAGTTATAACTGAACTTGGCTGTAGAAAGAATTCCTCCTTGAGTTGGGAACACACATTTTTTTTTTCAGTACTTGCATGAAACCCAGGGCCTTCACACTGAACTACATCCCCAGCACATTTTTGAGACAGGATCTTTCTCATTAAGTTTCCCGGGCAGGGTTCAAACTTAGAAGCCTCCTGCCTCAGCCTCAGAGGGGTGTAATTACAGGCATAGGCTAGCATGCCTAACTGAGGATGACAATCTTAACCAAGTTTCTCCTCTACTAACAACTAGATGGACTCAGCTGTCAGTGTGACTGACACCTATTTATGACATACATTTCTGCATACTACAGAGTGACATGTCCCAACTGGGTGAATTATGTGATGTGTTGTCAATATCTTTTTGGAGTTTACTCTTAATCCTAATAATCTTAACCTTTACTAAGTCAATATTAAAGTAGAGTTATTCCTCTAATTACCAGCTATAGAGATATGAACCAAATCTGGTTTTAGGTATTTGTAATTTGTAGCTGGCATGGAAAACAAGTAGAGCCTAGAGTCATATTTATGGATTTCTCTTCTTTCATTTTTTCAGGCAGATTCTGTGGGGACAAAGTACCCGAAGTTCTTACCTCTACAGACAGCAGGATGTGGATAGAATTTCGTAGCAGCAGTAACTGGGTAGGAAAAGGGTTTGCCGCTGTGTATGAAGGCAAGTTCACATTACATATAAGAGATATCTTAGCAGAAATGTCCTTTCCTTGTTTTTTTAGAATGATATTTAACCACATTTTAAATTACAAAAGTGCATTTTAGTATTCATGGGATGATTTTAATGGAAATTTAAATTGCAAGGTCAGCCTGTTTTCTGATATCAATGATATAACAACTGCATGTGCTCAGGGATAGTGGCTAAATGGCAAAAAAGCCTAAATTTTGTTTCATAATATCACTCAAATATTCGGAAATAAAAAGTCTTCTTTTGTACTGATTTTATATTTATCTGGTTCCTGCACTACTAAAATACTCCATTATAGGGATCTGCACAGAAAGTAATTGTGCACATTTCTGAAACATGCTTTGTCTAAATAAGAGAGTCAGCATTTGAGGGAGAATTTATTACACGCTTTGTTCTATATTGCTCTAAAACAATAAACTGGCATTGTGTTTCCTGGCTTTAAAAGTAGCCATTTTCTTGCCAGGTTGTGGGTGGAGGAGACCCTTCCTAGTATAGGAGTGTAGGTAATTTCCAAGACCGAAGATTTCTGCTTCCTATAAACTTTTAAGTAAATGGAAACATTTCATTTTAAATAACCGCACAGCCATGAAGATTGCGTGAACAGAGCCCGGATGTTGAATGCTCACTCTCCCACTGCCACAGGTCCGCTGATAGCTCTCTTCCGGGCCAAGTTTTAGTGCTTAGGAACTGTTTTACTTGTTTCTTCGGCAGGAAGAAACTCAGACCATCACAGAAATCACATAGAATAAATTAGTAAAACCCCTAAAAGCTTTTAAAAGTTAAAAAAAAACAACAACACTGTTTGTTAATATGTGACATAAGAGTGATTAAAATTTATGCAGTCCTTGGCTGAACAGTATGTAACACTTATAGTTCAGTGACTGTTTTTTACCTTCTAAAGTCTTTACAACAGTGCATGCAGCCGAATGTGACATTTTATAACCTCATCCTTATGTTCATAGTTACAGAAACTGAATTTAAACTTTACCTAAGAAGAAAATGGAAAAGAAATGGCATATCGAGACTTACTTTGTTTATTTTTGCTTTCTCAGCAATCTGTGGGGGAGAGATACATAAAAACGAAGGGCAGATTCAGTCTCCTAATTATCCTGATGACTATAGACCGATGAAAGAATGCGTGTGGAAAATAACAGTGACCGAGGGCTACCATGTCGGACTGACCTTTCAGGCCTTTGAGGTAGGTAAAGTCTTTTAGACCACCTTCGTGGGGGCATATTCTCATAGATGACAATGGCATTTAAGGGTACCCTCATTAAATCACAAAGAAACAGAATCAGCCTTTTAATCAGTAAAGAAGCAAAGGATTGCCTATAAAATGTAACATCAAAAGTGTAAGGGCTTTTTTTTCTTTCCTCTTGTTGCCAGCATTTCAAGAAGATTAAAGTGAGTTTACATTAACGTGCCATTTGAATTAGGATGTTTGAATTCCCGACAATAGGGGCTTTTAAAAAAATTTTTATCCACAAATACTTGAAGGTCTGTTAAGTACTAGAAATCTTATTTCTTTCTCTTTTAGAGGATAAAAGGTTATTGTTGGGAGAAAAATCCGTTTTTTTGTTTTTTGTTTTTTTTGCTGCTATACAGATAACGAATGACATAAAAATATAAATTCAAGTGTTCTCAGAAGCATTCAACTTCATCAAAAATATTTGTTGAGGAAACTGGCATTATTACTGCATTATTAGACAAAGGGCTGGAATAGACCAGAGACCCATCAGAATACAAGATCAACGTGTGAGTCCAGAACTACTGAGCCCAGGCTGCTTAATGAATCCCTTTTGTGGGTTAAGAGGAACCAGGATAAGGGTTGGAAGCCAGGCAACTGGGAACTTTTCAGGAGCTCTAGAAGGTGTTTAACTCAGAATTGGTCTAGAATTTGAGAGCCCAAAGTGGAATGGGTAGGAACAGTGAAATAAGGGTAGGGTAGTTGGTCCGGATGAAGGTTAAAAATCCAGACATCTCCACTGAAGGAAACAAGCAGATTTCCTGTCCAAACCCCACAAAATCAGTAAAAGGCAGGATTCATCCGCAGTCAGGGTGTGTACTTGAGACTGAGCTCAGTGACAGATTTGTCTCTAGCCCAGCAGCAGGATGCGAGAGTAGTCCGGGCGCTTCCGGTAAACCCAGGGAAGCTCACACTTCGCTGACAAGCCTGTGCCCTTTATTTCTTTAATCTTTGTCTCTACCCGCTTGTATACACTATGTAATTTCCCAGATGCTTCTTTTTATCATGAAAGAATATATTTCCTGCTCTTGTTATGACGTTGTGTCTTATTTCATTGGCATTTGAATTTTGTTATTTGAATGAACAACTAGGATCTCATATATTGCTCAGATTGACCAGTTTATTGTTAACAGTAAAACAAAGTTAGATAGAGGAATTATACTTTTAATTTAGACTAAAACTAGTTCAATAAATACTTATCACCCTAGTGGTCATATTTCCTGTGTGTTCTGATAGTTCATGAAAGAAGCAGTTAACTGTCTTTCAATACAGGTCACTGTATTATGGAATTCTCTCAGTACAGAAGTTATGTCAGATGAGGAGTGTACACCATACATTTTAAAAAATTACAGAACTTGAAATTTCTAGCTCAGCTGTTATGCAGTTTTATTTTTTGATTTATTAATATAGTAGCAGTGATATTCTTTAAAGATTGGACAGCATAAGGATAAAGAAGGATTTGCACCTCAGGCACTTGCAGCCTTACCTAACATACGGCAGTCGTTTAAAATGTGTTGGATGAATGAATGAATCAGTGATCACTATGGTTTGGGATTGAGGAGAAATCATATGCCAGTTTGGTTGATAGTATATTTTAATCAATCCCTAGTTTTCTGTCCTTTCTTTGATTTTCTTTATTTATCTTATTTTTCTGCTTCCTGTATTTCTATGATGGACTTATTTTAATGTCTGGTAGGCCTCTTGTGTTTGAAAGACCAAACCAAAACCCTTGTCTTTACTTACGCACTAAATCCACTCTTTAATTTATTTCAGTGTGTGGTAGCATGATTTACTCAAAGAATATCCTTAATTCTACTTTTTTCTCTTAAATTTCAAAGTCAGCGGAACAGCAGATTATATTTTGTCTTGTCTTCAACATACGGCGTATGTGACGACTTTGCATGGACTTTCTGCCCACCGTCCTGTCCTTCCCATCACGCTTTGCTGGGAACTCCTGATCAAGACATCAGGACTCGTATTCTATATGTCCTGTTCCTCCCACAACTGCCTGAGTGATGCTTTGCTTTGACAATATGAATTAGATTGTGACATTACTCTACTTGCACTCATGCGATGGGTTTCCTTCACACCCACAATAAAATCCAGACTCAATGATCACAGACCAAGGCACTCTGCAGTTTCCTCCTAGGCTCCTTCTTCTTCCTATTTCTGTTCCCTTTCTTGCTTCGTTCTGTTCCACAAATGCCCAGCTCTTTCCCATACGAAAATATTTGGCATGGACATTCTTGTAACTTCCTGTCTTTGCTTTTACTCGTTTTGTCAGATATCTGCTTATCTCCTCATTTAAAAATAACTTGCCTGATAACTCTACTTAAAATATTTCTTATTCCCAAACTATCATTGACTCTAAACCATTATTCTGTTTTATTTATTACACTTATGACTTTTGCTTGTTTCACTAAAATACAATCACTGAAGGGTAGTGATATTCCTTCTACTGCTGATCTTTATATTGCCCGGTACCAATGATTCCATGATTGATATTGGATAAGAGAAATGATTAATAAATGTATGTGAGTGGTAAATAAATAAAGCTTGGTGGATGGAAATTAATATATTCTTTCCTTATGAAGGATATGTGAGTTTCTCTGCTGGGGGAAACAAAACTAGAAGCATAAATTGGATTTAGATTATGGAATAACTGGTATGCTATCTGGCTAAATTCATATCACATATACTAGATTCCAAGAAATTCAAAAGTGACAAAGACTACATTTCTTTTAAAATAAGATCTGTGTGGAAAATAACCAGAGATCAAAAATGTCAGTCCCGATTGCTCTATCCTTTCCTTGTCTTCTGTCACTCTTTTTTTCTCATTGGCTGCTCTTTGGGGCAGAAGACTGTGTTTTCTGGGAAAGGGGATCAGTAGCATCCCAATCATCAATGAAATCTTCTACATAAGGAAGCTGAGCTTATCCCATTAACTTCATATGTTAAGGTGGTAAATTAGCTTTAACATGGAGGTACAAATTATTCTGATTTTATTTGCAAATTTACCCACTCAATAAAAAAGTAATTTAAGCCAAAAATTAATAGTCATCATGTATTTTGGGTCATTTACAGACATGTAAAGACTTGCACATTACTAGCCATGATGTGCCTGACTGGGAAAATATACATTAGATAAGCTTTAGTCACAAATGTGTCAAGGCAGTGTTGACTGAATTCAGTGCTAATGATCTCAATTGTTCCAGTAGTCATTAGTTTGTCTAACTTTGTCTGTTTTTGTCAATTTATTTTGTTTATATATTGTTTAAAAATATAGATCATATGCCAGGGATTTAGCTCAGTACTGTTCCCACCTGCCTCACAAACACAAGGTCCTGAGTTCGATTTCCAGTACCAAAAACAACAAAAATACAGATCATATATTTTATATGGAAATTACACAATTTAATAAAATGTTCTTGCAAATTTTCAACATTTTGAAAATTTTGTCTGATGAAAGCTTTTACTTAACCACTTTAATTATTTTTCAAAACTTTTTCTAGTTATGTATTTTAATTTTCTATGTTACTCTGTATTGTTTTAGATGAAAAGGCCCATTACAATAAGTGGGTCCATTATTCTATTAAAATTTCTTGTAAAGAACTTAGTCCATATTTACTTTTATGAGAGTTATTGTCAGAGTTTTAGCTTTCCCAGTGCTACTTGAATATTAATATAAGTAAAGGAAGCAAGCCTGAGTAATTGTCTCTATAAATGAATTTTAGGCATCTTACCGCAGGAAGAGACACTCTTTGGAGAGATCAGATAGTAATACCAGTTTGGAAAACGTGTGACCAGAATGTCTGTAAATGCCCAGAAATTCATATGTTGAGATCTTAATCACGAAGGCAGTGGTGTGAGGGGTGAAGCACTTGGGAAGTGATTGGATGAGATTTTCATGAACATAATTTGCATCCTTGTGAAAGAGGCATATGGAGCTGCTAACACGGAAGGGCATGGTGAAGAGGCACCATGAAGGGTGAGGCCCTCAACAAATACTAAGTCTGCTGGCTCCTTGGTCTTGCCTCTCCCCAGAACTGTGAGAAATAAAATTCTATTGTTTACAGGCCACCCCGTCCGTGGTCATTTCTAATAGTATTCTGCACAGACTGGATTAGGAAGGTTTCTCTTCTCTGACTAGACGCATCAAATTGTTTGCCCTATACCAATATACTTATGTAAGTGTGTGTAAGAATATGGCTCATCTCTGAAGTTAATGTTACCCTCTCTTCAGTGGGAATGTTATCTGTTAAGAAGCCTCTCCTATTTTATTTGAGAGGTTTCACTTTGCAGAAATGCAGGAGAGAAAAAGGTTTGCAGAGTGGAAATGTTTATGGGAACAGCTTCAAAGAAATGTCAATAAAGCAGAAAAGAAATAAAATAAACACAGAGCTTACTTTTGTTTAAATTGAAACCCCCACATGCATTAATTCAAGTGGGATTAAATTTGAGGTACTTGTCAACATTGCTGCACATCCTGATTTGATGATGCTTTCCTTATGGAAAGCAGAGATGTTTAATAGAGTTAACTTACATCATTGCTGCAAGCTCCAATGTCCTAAACTGTGTACATAAGTTTTATCTTATTACTTGCTGAACTCTCTGACTAAAAGCAATCCTCTGATTCCTCCGAATATTTTTTATTGGCTTATGATAAATAGCTTGTGTGAATGAGCTAAGAAGCTGAGATAAGAAGGCCTTAATTAGGTAATGCTTTTCTGTTTGCCATGTACTTTTGGGGGAGTGTTCAGTTAAGAATATTTATTGGTTAATAACTCTAAAGGAGAAGAGTTCAGAAGCTCTTCATGAATTAGGGTTCAGGCTATAACTGTACTGAAAAGTTGGTGCTTGTTAGTTTAAATAAACTTGCCCAAGGTCACACAACTGGAGTGCTGTACTTGAAGCCAAGGCCTTGCTTTGTGTATTGCTGACCCTGTGTCCTGGAAGTGAAGAATTGCATCGGTGTTTCTCTTAGAGCTGTCCCTTTGTCTGTGTGCTGGTGTAGGATGCTGTCCCTTTGTCTGTATAGTGATGCCACATGGTCCTTCTGTGTCCATCGGGAACGTGTGCTTTATTCACTGCTGTGACACATTGATTGTCAAATACATGACATCTGACTGTACTGGTAGTCTTCAATACAATTATTGAATTCATGAGCAAACTTATGTCATGAAGGAAAACAAAAAACTGAAGTGGCAGAAAATAAGCGTAACCAAGATCCATGCTATTCCTTTTCACATGTATATTTTTGTCTTCCCCTTCTTTTAGATGTAGTGACATATTAATATTAACTTACTATTAAGTGCTTCTGCAAAATAATATTAAACTATTTGATATGAAAATAAAACTTGAAATATTAACTATATATTAAGTCTTTACTTTTTAATTCAAAATTATGTTTATTGGTAGTATTCTTTTTCTAGACTTTACTAAATTTTTCTCATTAATATCAATTTTTATGATAAATTCTTACATATATTGCTTTCGTCATAGTTTTTCTTAATATTGTTAAAAGCAAATCACAATTCTCACACTGTCCTAAGTATATAAACTGTAATTTATCTTATCTCTAAGACTCATATCACTTATATTTGATCATGTTAGTTAGATTATATTAATTATACTTTAAAACTCCATCATAACAGTTGTGAGAGAACTATTTATAATATACATAGTACAAAATTTGCCATAATAGTAACTTTAAGTGTATCATTCAGTAGCATTAAAGTACATTCACATTGATGCCACCAATCTCTAAATTTTGTTTTCATCTTGCAAACTTGAAATTCTATACCCACTAAAACAAACTTCCATCCTTTTGTCCTCCCCATCCTTGGCAATGCTGTTATTTACCTCTACAAATTTGACTATTTCAAGTGCAGCCTCTCACATAAGTGAAATCATACAGCATTCATCTTTTTGTGACCTGTGTGCTTTACCTTGTTTCATGGTATTTGTCACGTGTGTAAACATTTTGCTCCTTTTGAGAGCTGACTAGTATTTCATTGTATGTATGAGCAGCGTTTTGTCTATCTGTTCATAAAACAATGGATGCTTGGGCTCTGTCCTTCTTCTGGCTATTTTGAGACATTTGCTCTGAACGTGGCTGTACACATATGCATATATTTATATGTGAATCTATGAGTGGGTTTTCAGCCTGGACTTGCCCTGTCCTCTGGGACTGTCTTCCATCCCTGTTAGATCTCACTTGCAAGCACTCATCACAAAGCTCTGTACAGGTTGGCAGTTTTAGAATGAGAAGCTGACCACTTTCAGTCCAAGTTAATTTACTTAGTTCTTGCTAAACAGAAATCAGCTTTACCATGTTTCCTCTTTAACTGTCTGGTAATGTTATGGGCCTCTTAAGAATGAAACATAACACTAATCCCCTCTAGCTAGTCTTTGTGCTTATTCCTTCTTTGTGTATTTGGATCTACTACTGGTATCATTTAAATATCAGTTTTCTGAAATATGATCAGACCTTACTATCATTTTCACTGTATTGCCTGTGTACATATTAGGTCTGTTTACATTATAAAGAAACCACGTTCATATATAGTTTATACTTTGATTACCATAAAGTCTGTAATAAATCAACATTGTTGCTATCAAAACATATTTGTTACATGTGTAATTGTGCATGACATTGCATTCAGCTCCCAGCTCTCTGAATTGTGTTCATGCATTAATTCAAGAAGAGACTGCTTTTCATTTTAATTTTTTTGGCTTTCCTAAATCATTGACCTTGTTCTTTTTTCGTAGCATGTAAGGTTGTTGGCATAACATACTTAGACCCGATTCACTTTTAACTTTCATCATATTTATTTCTATGTTTTTCATATATCAATTGATGAAATGATCTGCTATTGTTCTAGAAAATATTGCAGAAACCACATAAATCAAATAACGTACTTTCATTTGTGCTCCACTGTCACCGTCTCCAAGTAGACATGGTTGGTGAAAGGTAACTACAGTTAACATTAACGAGGTAGATTAATTATGTAGGCAACATACACAGGATTACACTGTACATAAACACACCCATTGGGTCATTAATAAGGTATGCAGGATTGGTGTGAAGCAATAATGCGTTTCTAAATAGTATAAGCATTTGCAATATCCATGTGTATTATAAATCCATATATATGAGACACAGTTCATTTTGTAGGCAAGTCAATAAACATAGCATCTATTGTATATTTCTTAAAGGGACAACAGACTGTCATGGGAAGGGCAATATCAATTATCTCCTTTTAATCACTGAAGATATTAATTTTTAATTTTCAATAGTGCCTGTTTTGTTTTATTCCTTGTTAGTACTGCATTTTTTAAAAAAGCAGTGGTCTTCTTAAAACAGTAATTAAAAATCTTTGTAATTAACCTTGTTAAGTTTTATTCTAGAGTGGCTTTTACTATGAAGCAGTGTGATTTCACTTTCATTAGTGGGCCTCCCCCTACAAGGAGTTTTATTTTCCATGTGTAGTCGCGATTCTTTTCCTCTTTTACCACACCCCCAGTAGGATTCGTGAATCAGGAGCAGTTCATTCTGTGCTGCTTAAAGCAGCTGAGGCTTATGTGGCTTGCCAAGACTTTTGGCTATTTTCCCTATGTTTTTGTCAGTGGCTCAGTGTTGATTTCTATTTTAAGAAGAAAATCTGGATTTATGAATCATACTGAATGAGTCCTACCTGATGGTTTCACTTAAAATCTGCAGGCTTGACTCCCACCGTCCCATCTTCTCATGCTTGTTGTGTCTCTTCATATTTTTTTCATTGAATTTATCGCTTTCTAATATTTATGATTGAACAAGTTGTCTTAATTATTTCTTTTACATCTACCCATGAAAAGCACACAAACTCCTGGAGCCCAAAGTTCTGTGTTATTTTCTGCATGATACGTAGCAAACAATGAGCAACATGCCCAGCCGAGAATAGCACTGAGTATGTTTGTTGAAACCAATGAATGAATTCAGTTCTATGATTGGAGAAAAGGAAACAGCAAATGTAATTCTTTCACAGCTAAATCTGTGCCCCAGAAAAAGTTATTTTGGGGGTTGTCCTTATGCTACCTTATTAAAGAGAATCTCTCATAACAGAGCAATAAATCAGCAGAGGGAATCTTCCAGTGTACATCAACTTCACCCATTCAGTTTGCAATTCCATGAAATAAATATATTTTCCGATGTCAATTTTGTAATGGGAGAATTACATAAATTAGTACGTTGTATGTTCAACAATAGTTGACAAGCTGCAGTAACTTTTGTGGTTTTAAAATTGTAGATGTCTGCCCTTTCTATTTTCAAATACTTCATAAGTAGTTCACTGTTAAGATTTCAAAGATAATGTACAGCTTCTGTGAAAAAATTAAAAGCGAGACTTTTCTTGATAATTTATCTTGTACAATTTTTTATAGCTAGTCTTATCTGTTGTTTTTTGACATTCAGGCCAAAACATCAGTGCATGAATAGTTCTCCATAAAGGGCATAGGCTAATGGTTTGGCCTAATGTTTTGCATGCAACTTTGTGTGTGTGTGTGTGTGTGTGTGTGTGTGTGTGTGGTACTGGGGATCATTCCCAGTACTGCTGTAGCCCTGAGCTCTGTCCTCCGCTTTTAATTATCTTGCAGCAGGGTCTTGCTAAATATCTGAGGCAGGATTCAAATTTGTGATCCTCCTGTCTCAGCCTCCTTTGGGGCCGAGATTACAGGCATGCACCACTGCACCTCGCTTGCACTTAGTAAAAAGAGGTTGAGTTCCTTCAGATAACAGGGATCAAGAGAATTGCGTCAAAGCAAAAGAAGTAATCCAAACCAAGGCCAAGTTACCTTGAGACAAAAACAACAATAACAAATCCCTAATGCTGACTGTAATATATTCAGCTGTGCTAATCATGGATAAAAATTTTTATAGCCTACAAAGAAATGTCACCCCATATTGTCAGACTTTCCTTTTTAAATTAGATCTGTGACCTAAAACAAGGATATACTGGTCAAAAATATTTAATTCCTATTTCTCTATGAATAAAATGATGATCTTCTTGATAAACTGTGAACAATTTTATTAGTTTCAGAGTAATTTATATATTTTTTAATGTATATCTGGCCCAGATATTTGATAATTATCTATCCTGGGTGTCTTTCTCACCTTTATTTAAAGAATCATTATTTGTAGTTTAATTTTCTTTTAAAAATCAGTTCCTTTCTGCTGATCTTGACCCACACGGACACACTGCTCCATAGATTATTTTTTAAACACAAAAAGTACTTTTTCATGTAGGTGTTCCTTGAATGGAGGTATTACCATATACACAGACACTCATGGGAAATTCTCTTGTCTACTCATTTGATATAAGTAAATTTTGTATTAGCAAGTCAGTACTGTAACACTGAGAATGCGCAATCTTGCTAGAGAAATTGTTTTGTCTTTTTTTTTTTGGTACCTGGAATAGGACTTGGGACCCTGCACTTGCAAGGCAGGTGGTGGCACCACTGAACTAAATCCCTCATGAAATTATTTTGTCTATTAATGGAATATATTACAATTTTATTGTTGTAGATTGAAAGACATGACAATTGTGCCTATGACCACTTAGAAATTCGAGATGGGACCAGTGAAAATAGCCCTTTGATTGGACGTTTCTGTGGTTATGAGAAACCTGAAGACATCAGGTCCACCTCCAACACCTTGTGGATGAAATTTGTTTCTGATGGAACTGTCAACAAAGCTGGGTTTGCCGCTAACTTTTTTAAAGGTATTTCACAGTGGTTTGCAAATGCAAGATCTCCTTTCTCAGGCAGGGACAGATGTGGTATTTAGTGTGAATGGGAGGGAAGTAGGATTGAAATTGTATTGGAAGTTGAAGTAAACACAATGGATGAGGATATTTTAATGAGTTTTGATGGGAAATGTTAGTGAAATATTAGTTTATAACTTCATAGCACAGGACAGGAAGTTTATTAGAGTACTCTATCATTTACGTTTTAAGAAATAGTCAAAATAGTAAAACTCTATGAAGATATAGGATGACAATATTTGAAATACATACATATAAACAACAAAGAACTCATAACTGGAAGGGGATTTACTGACATGGAGTTGATCAATTTATTTTCAGGTGCCACCATTTTTAAAGTACCTCTTAAAGCATAGTGTTTCCAATATTAGAAATAATTATAGACCTTTTAACAGAATATTCTGTTAGCAAAAATATGTTTTTGTAAGGAATTATTGCTGATCAATTTAATTTTGAATTACTTATGCTTTAATTTATTCTCATGTCCAATATTTTGTGTGAATTACAAAATAGGGAAAAAATCTATTGTAGTGCAAATGGTAACATTAAGCATACATTTAGTTTTTGTTGTAGTTTTCTTCCCAGGGATTTAACTCCGGTCCTTTCACTTTCGAGGCAAGTTGTGGAACCACTGAGCCAAATCCCTGGCTAAATGTACATTTAGAAAATGCATATATACTTATTTTAATTATATCACTGTTGAATAAAATTTTCCTTTGGCAGGAGAAGATAAAATTTATTCCACACTGAATTTTATAGGACAAATGGTCAATTTGAATATATCAAAATTTAATGAGAGATTCATAATATTTTCATTATTTTGAGAAAAGTATAATGAATTTTTTCCTTTGAGTTCATATAAATTGAATGCAGGAAACGACATATTAACTATATGAATTCATTAATATATATATATATACATATACATACATATATATACACACACTAACACATTACAAATTACCTCTGTGTAATATTAATAGTAAAAGGAACATGAGGTCAAGCTATTTTCATGTGATATATATTTGATTATCAAAATGCTTGGTGTTCTCTTAATGCTTAATTTCTCCAGAGTATATTTACTATTTACCTAATTCACATTATGTTATTTCTGAAAAACTGAGATTACGAAATGCCCTGTCATAGTCATTTTTAAACTATTACATATTTTCATACTTTCACATACGATTAAAACATGGTATGTATTTGTAAAAATACTGCATTCTTAGCTGTTGCGAATCAAATTGTCTATATAAGAAACAATGAATGCTTTAAATTAAAAGAAATCAAATCAATTCTTGAGTTTTATTTCTTTTTATTTTGTATTCTCCATGATCTATTTCTCAATTGTGATTTTTCTTTAAAAGTGTTTTTATTGCAGTACTGGGGATTGAACCCACAGCGTCATGCATTTTAACTATATACTCCACTGCTGAGCTACATTCCCAGCACCTAAAACCATTTTTTGAGATACATCTAACAAACTGTACCATGAAATGAATAGTTGAAGCTATGCTTTCACAGTAAAGATATCTTAAAAATTTCATTCTGACAAATCTCTAGGTTTTAACAATCTGTACTTTATTTCAAATTCAGAAAAAGAAAACCACAGTCTGAGACAAAAATGATTTTTAGTTCATGTGCCTTTAGGTTAGTAGAATTTCTCTTGTGGTTCTTCTGCAGTTTTTAGGTTGCAGTAATGTGAATTCTTGTATGTCATCCACCTAGGGCTTACACATTGTTCCTGATTCTTTGCTGAAGAAATGAATCATATCTGTTTTATTCCAAGCACTTAAGCCTTATATTTTAAAAAGTTGCAGACCTTAATCTATCTGCTTGTTGTTCCACAATCATCACTCATTTTACAGAGGAAGATGAATGTGCCAAAGCCGACCGAGGAGGTTGTGAGCAGCGGTGCCTGAACACCCTGGGCAGCTACCAGTGTGCCTGCGAGCCTGGCTATGAGCTGGGGCCAGACAGAAGGGGCTGTGAAGGTAGGCCTGGGCTCACTTGGCTGCCCCTTCTCTGTTCTGCACTCTCTGTCTCTCTGTCTGTCTGTCTGTCTGTCTCTCTGTCTGTCTGTCTGTCTGTCTGTCTGTCTCTCTCTCTCTCTCTCTCTCTCTCTCTCTCTCTGTCTCTCCCCCCACCTCACTCCTCCCTCCCTCTCCCCTTCCTCCTTCTCCTATAATAATTTCAATCTTGATCCTCAACCAGTGAGACTATATTCATAGCCTTCATAGTCACAACTGTTGTGAAACCTCCCCTGGTCTCTTGCTATACAGTTAATCTTTTTCCTGTTTGATTGCCAGGTCTCCATGTAGATTCATTCCCCATCCGTGCCTTCATCCTTCCGTCCCTCCCTGCTCTCCTTCCTCCTCCTTCTGTATGTACATGTCTGCATGCATTCGTGAGTGCATCCATCCATCCATCTGTCCGTCTCTTTGTCTGTCTACTCATCATTTCTTTTGTCTTTTGCCTAACGTAGTCTATGAGTATGTGTCTCTTATTAAAACGAAAAGCCTGAATCTGCATTATCTTTGTATCTTTATCACCGAACACAAACATAAAGCATTTAGCATAAAGGCAAATAACGTGTTTTCTGAACAGACGATCGAGTAAGAACATTTTCGTCATGGTTATCTGCATTTCCTCATTATAGTTTGACATGAGGTTTCTCGTACAAAGCTGAGTTATCATGGTCTGCAATCTCTTCTTTCAGAATTAAAAGCTGACTCTATTTCACTCCCCTTCTCTGTCCTACTACAGACTCTATACGCTCACTTACAAGCAGAAAAAAATTGGCTTTCCTTCTATCCCTCCTTTTAAATTTCTTACAAATTCATCTTCATAGGACTTGTAATAACTTAGTATTACTTATACATTAATTTAGTTTTGCTTTTTTCCTACCAAAATGTAAGTCTTGGAAAGTGAACATCTTCTTCTCTACTGTGTCTGGAACAGAAAATCTGAGAAGGAGCAAAGGTAGCAAGAGTATTTGCTTAATGAATAAATGCCACGCATTTGCTGATCTACTTAAAAAAATTATAGTCTCTCTATTTATTCTTAAAACTTTGACGTTTCCTTTTGGCTCTCAAAAATCTTTTTCTTCACCATGAAACTACTAATGCTCTCCCTCTATTCAAATTTTTAAAAACATGATTCCTAAGAAAATGTAGTATTTTTATACCAATCACAAATTAATGTGACTATTTATTTGTACATTGTAGAAATACATATTTTACTTCCTAACAATCTATCAAAAAAGTTGAAAGTAAATGTTAAAATAGTATTTTGCATATTGATATATGCAAATATATAACATATTTATATATGCTAACATATAGAAATTATGTACAAAGGCAAACAAAGAAGCAAGTTATTGAGTTTCCTGGTAGGATTCAGTTATCAACTGTGTATATTCTCTTCATTGAACTTGGCTTTAGAGATTGTGATTTTTCTGATGTCAGCATGAATAAAGAAGAAAGGAAATGTAAATAGTACCTTTTTAAAGTAGATAATTTAAAGGGGAAGAAAAACAGATGTTAGTGATTTTGAATAAATATGTTTGTCTTTAGCACAATTTATATTGCCTACTAGCTTGAATAAAATGCTTTATTTGTCCTGGAGAAAAAAATTTGATAAATGAATGAATAATTTTGGTTGGATTGCATATAAAAATCTTGTGTCCCATTTATCTGTCATCCATCCATCCATTCGTCTGTCCACCCATCCATCTTTTTCCTTAATTCCCAGAATGTATTTATCAATTTTAACATTTTTTTCTTAATTCTGTAGTAAGGAAAATATTACTAGTATTGCAAGGTATTATTATACCCATTTAAAAGACAAGGAAAAGGAAACCCAATACTATATTGCTCACTCAACTGTAAAGTGATTTATTTTTTTTTCTTTTATTGAGGTTATTGGTACATTTTACATATACAGTACAGTTACATTCATTATTGGGATCTTGTACCTTTACGTGACAGGTCTTGGTTCTCATTTTTTCCCCTTGTCCCTGCCCTCCCTTCACACCCTCCTCCCGTCCCCATTTACAAACACTTTATTTACATTTTTTATTTACTCATATTTTTTCCCTTATTACCTTTCCGCTACCCTTCCAATCTTCCCTACACCTTTAGCCCTTTTCTTCCCATTTCACAATGCCAGTTATCTTATTAGGATCTTATGTACTGTTACAGTATATTCACACCATAGAAACTATTTGGTATTTACACATGTGTGACTAATTTATTTCACTTAGGAGTATATTCTCAGTATGTATCCATTTTCCTATGAATGAGTCTAATTTCTCATTCCTTATGGCTGAGTAATATTCCATTTTATAGAAAAACCACAACTTCTTTATCCAGTTTCCAACTGATGGGCAAATGGGCTGTTTCCAAGTTTTACATATTACAAACTGTGCTGCTATAAACATGGGTGCACATACTTCTCTGTGATATGTTTCTTTTAGTTCTTTTGGAAAGATACCCAGCAGAGGGATGGCTGGGTCAAATGGAACCTCCAGTCCAAGCTCTTTGAGGTATCTCCATATTGATTTCCATAGTGGTTGCA